AACTCATAGAGACCCCTCCTTGGGTTTCCGAGGCAGTATCACTACGGAAGTAGGATTGCCCAACCTTCCTTCCGAGGAGTGGCTGGTATATGTTACTCACACTTTTACACTCACAAATACCATCTGCAAATCAACAGTTTAGTCAGAGAGATTATTCAGTTTTGGAAAAGTATAATTTAAATTTTACGTAGTAAAACTACCAAGGGGGTAACTATGATCCAAAAAAAATCAATTGCATAAAATGCAAGATTGTATTACTTGATAATGATCAGACCAACACTGTGTGCAGCTAGCTAGCTGGGAAATCTGGGTGGCAAGGGTATGATCCAAATCTATTCCAACGCTAGCTGCAGTTGGCACCATCTGGTGACCTGGTCAGTTTGTACCACCTATCCCCAGGTGTGGTGTGTTTGGCTTGGCAGTAATTCTAGGTAGCTGGTGCTCTTTTAGTCTCCGCTATCTAGAAATAAAAGGAGCTCTTGTCGAGCTGTAGTTAAGGTGTTTGACAGCTAACTAAAAAGAGGTCAATTTTTCAAACCTGCCAGTTTTGCAGGAGACTCTGCAGGAGATAGATGAGGCAGTGTGCTTCTGTAAAGGTTTACAGGCTTGGAAACCCTGTAGGTCAGTTCTACTCCATCCTATAAGGTTGCTGTGAGTTGGAAATGACTCGATGTCAGTGAAAACCCCATTGCCATCTAGTCGGATCCGACTCATAATGACCCCTCCTTGGGTTTCTGAGGCAATATCACTACGGAAGTAGATTGTCCAACCTTCCTTCTGAGGAGGAGTTTGGTTTTTTAAAATCCTGAAATATTGGGCCTAAATAAAACTGGGGCCCAAGGACACACCCCCTGCCTCTCTAGGATTGGACATAGGATGGTCTGACATTTCTATATTAATCTGTCATTTTTAAAAGTATGAACTTTAAATAGACCAATGCAAACTCTATATTTTTTTTAAGTCAAACCTAACTTTGGATTTTCTTTTTCTGTTTCTTGGGGAATTCCTGGACATAATGAAATTGGTCTCAGGTGCTTCCTCCACAGGCAGTCCTTGGTCTTCACCTGCTAGAGACTCTACCTCCCAATCAGAAACTCTACCTTTCTCAACTGGATCAAAGGTCTTCTCTCTGGCTGACCAAAGTGCCATAGATACAATGGACATTGACCCAACAGCATTAGTCTCAGGGATAACCATCCTTGCTGATAATTACTCTGCCATTAGCCAATCTGCTATGGGAATTAGACATTCTCCTGCATCTTCAGAAGACAGCAGGTTGAATACAGACAACAAGGATAAGATCAAAGAACTAGATGGGATGGATTTTTCCAGTGTTCCTGCCTCATCTGAGGTGCCAAGACCCAGTGGGTATATTTCTACAGATCATTTCTTGGAGAATTCCACTCCTGTACCAGTTTTACAATATATCACCACTAGCTCTATGACCATCGCCACCTCGGGCCAAGAGCTGGTAGTATTCTTCAGTCTGCATGTTGCTAACATGCCTTTCTCCAATGACCTGTTCAACAAGAGCTCTCTGGAGTACCAAGCTCTGGAGCAACAATTCACACAGCTGGTAAGTGGACACTGCTTACAATCCTTTCTAAGACTCTTATTGCCTTTTTGTTGTTGTTGATATTGTTGTTGTTGTTACATTATATCATAATTATATAATTACTGGCTGTCTCAAATAATGCAGGTTAGAAGAGACAAACTCTGAGACTTGTTGCTGGGGACATCCAGTTAGAGCATTGACATAGTTTCTGATCGACTCAGATAATCTCTATGATGGAGGTTCAGCCTAATGCAAACATCTAAAATCTATTCAGTATGCTTCATTCACTTAGTTCATTCAGGAATAATACATAGCCAACCAAGCATTGAACTTGGAATCTGAAAACAGTGTGTGTTTTTCCCAAGTCGTAATGCCACAAGCATCTCTCCAGCCACTTGACCAAAGAAAATAGTCTAGTGTGGTCTTGTGCAAATGAGGCAGAGAGTTCAGATGTAAAGAGCTCCTTTTTATATCTCTTTAAATTCTTGTAAACCTAAAAAATGACTAATTGGCTTATCATTCCTGATCCCTAACAAAGAAACTGAAAACATGATCTTGATGACATATATCTTAGATATAAAACACCTTCAAATCCCACATGTTTACTTTGTTGCTACATGTACAATAAAAAATACATATAAAATAAAAATGCTAGACAATGTGTTATCTTCTACTAGCAATGGCTAATTAATATTAATTACACGATGCATATCAGAGAATGATAAATTTCTGAAAATAATAGGGAAAAAACATTTGTATGATTCATATAAGTTAATAAATTATACAAATTAAAATTGACATGTTGTTGTTATGTGCTGTGGAGTTGGACTCAACTCACAGCGACCCCTCCTTGGGTTTCCGAGGCAATATCACTACAGCAGTAGATTGCCCAACCTTCCTTCCAAGGAGTGGCTGGTGGGTTTGAACCACCAGGCTTCTGGTTAGCAGTCAAGTGTCTTAGGCACTATGCTACCAGAGCTCCCTAAAATCTGCATAAAACATAATTTATTCAAGTGAACATTTGCTGTAAAGTAAGACTTTATCTGTCTGATCTCCCTACCCTCCACAGAGGGGTGCGTATGTATTAGAAAGTCCCAGTGAACAAAGTCTCAGTAAAGCAGAGGCCCAGGTGTGTTAATTAGGTTATATGCTAACCTGCTAAGGAGCTCTGGTGGCATAGTGGATAAAGTATTTGTCTGCTAACCAGAAGGCCAGCGGTTCAAACCCACCAGCTGCTCTGCAGAAAGAAGATGGGACAATCTACTTCAGTAAAGATTTACAGTCTTGGAAACCCAATGGGGTTTGTTATGAGTTGGAGTCAACTTGATGGCAGTGAGTTTGATTTGCCTAACCTGCCATCATGAATATACCATGAATACAGATGCTTAAATAAGACACAAGTTTATATTTCTTTCATTTGCTGATCTGGTAGAATATTTCTGTTCTATAATGTCATCCAAGAATCAATATTTCTTCCTTCTTATAGCACTGTCAACTTCAAGGGCATTGTCCTCATCCACATGGTCAAAACTGGGTCAGTAGCACACTCCCAAAAAAAAAAAAAAACTCACCGCCTTGGAGTTGTTTGCGACTTATAGAGACCCCTCCTTGGGTTTCCAAGGCTGTATCTCTATGGAAGTAGGTTGCCCAACCTTCCTTCCAAGGAGTGGCTGGTAGGTTTGAACCACCAGGCATTCTTCTGGTTAGCAGTCAAATGTCTTAAGCGCTATGCACCAGAGCTCCCAGCACACTTCCAAGGCAGGCAATTCCCTTGTAAGCAAGTGATACCAAAGTGGCTCACATCACTTCCACTCATACCCCTTTGGTGGGACCTAGTCACATGGCCATACCTTGATGCAAATGAGGCTGGGAAATGTGGTTGGTCTCTAGCTAGGCAGTCTCTTTCCCATGAAGAACAGGAGAATGGATTTGGAAGAAATGAAAAACTAGTGATCTGCACATTAGGTAAACACAGGGAGTTCCTATCAGAGGTCAAAGCATTGCTAAGGGACAAAGAATGAGACAAAGAAAGTAAGAGAATCCTACATTTTGTACACAATTTCATTTTATTTTTATAATAACCTTGAGAGAGGTGTACTAGAATATGGGTCAGAATCACAGAGTCAAAATTCTGGTGGGGTGGGGACAGGAACAAAGGGAAAGTAGGTCTGGGCCAAGCCTGGGTTAATACAGCTTGCATCTTTGTGCTCTTTGGGTACATAAGTGTGTGGTTCATGATTGAGGGGATGAATTTGTAGGGCCAGGGACAAGTAAGTAAAGAAATGTTTGGAACATTTCTGAAAAATGGTCTGAAAGATGGCTGTAGTTTACAAGAGGTAGGCATGGTAAACTGAAACAACATGTCCTGGAGCATGCTTTTGAGATTATTAAATTGTAATTTGGAAAGGGTGCCTAAGGAACAAATGTTTCTTCTCCCTCACAATTCAGGTACAGCAAAGTAGTTACCATGCTTGATGGTCACACAGGTGGTAAAAGACATTCCAAGACTGGCACCCAAGCCTCTTAACTGCTAGTTCCCTGTTATTTCCACTGTCCTGAATTTGTGTTGACCATGAAACATATCTACATAGACAGACGGGCTGTTGTTTAAGCTGTTGTTTATTTCAATAGGTCATTTCAAATTGGTTGCTTCCAAGCAGATGTCCTGTTTACACAGGCATAGGTCAGTCTACTCCTGAGCTCAGTTTGGAACATGTTTTTATTTACTTGGACTCTTTTAAATATCTGAACCTGGCATTCTAACTTGGCTGATAGCATTGACCTGGATTTTTTTTCCTCTGTTCTCACAATTCATCATGAAGAAAATCACTGCCCATCTATCTCAATACACAAGCAGAAAGGTATAAATATGGAACATAATCACTGCAAATAGATCATTAAATAGTGGTGTTCTGGTCTCACATTACATCCAAAAGCAAAAAAAAAATAAAAATAAAGAGGCAGTGAAATTTGTGCCTCAGACAATAAAAGTGAGCAAAATGGAATTAGCAGCAGCTGAGCACTTAGAACACAGTTAAGAATAAACCATCTTTTATTTTGCAGCTGGTTCCATATCTACGCTCCAATCTTACAGGATTTAAGCAACTCAAAATACTTAACTTCAGAAATGGGAGTGTGATCGTGAACAGCAAAATGAGGTTTGCCAAGTCGGTGCCATATAACCTCACCAAGGCTGTGCATGAGGTCTTGGAGGATTTTCGTTCTGTTGCAGCCCAACAACTTGATCTGGAAATAGACAACTATGCTCTTGACATTGAACCAGGTAAAAGAGTTCAACTCAAAAAGTTGGTTTTGGTTGTTTTCTTATTGCCATATTTAAAGTAGGCAGTTCAACTATCTGGCAAGAAAAAAAAAGGTTAAAACCACACTTGATAAAATAACATTTCAGAAGCTATAACTAACAAATCAGCCAGTTGCTACTGAGTCAACTCATGGGGAGCCCAGGTGTATTAGAGCAGAACTGTGTTTCATCAAGTTTTCAGTGGTTGACTTTTCTGAAGTAAATTGCCAGCCTTTCTTTGGAAGCATGTTTGGGTTGACTTGAACTGTCAACCTTTCTGTTAGCAGCCAAACACGTTAACCGTTTGCATCACCCAAGGGCTCCTGGGAATTGCCCACTGCCATCAAGTGGATTTCGACTTATAGTGACCCCCACTGGGTTTCCAAGGCTGTAAATCTTTACAGAAGTCGATGGCCTCATGTTCCTCCCTGGAGCAGCTGGTAGGTTTGAACTGCTGACCTTCTGGTTAACTGCCAAATATCTTACCCACCATACCACCAGAGCTCCTTTTCAGAAGTTAGGGATCACATTATTAAAAGGTAGAGATCTAAGATAGGCAGGTGAAAGTTTTTCTACATCAGAAACAAAGAACAAGCACATCTCTTGCTTTATAACCTCAGCACTTTAATGTCCCCTCAAAACTAAACTTTTGCTATGTTTAAGAGATATATAAGTATATAAAAAATGTAGCCCACAGCTAAACTAATTTACATTCTACACGTCAAAAGGAGCTCTGGTGGCACTATGGTTAAAGCATTAGGCTGCTAAGCAAAAGGTTAGCTGTTTGAATCCACCAGCTGCTCAGCCAGAGAAAGATGAGACAGTCTGCTTCCATAAAGATTTACAGGGTTGGAAAACCTCCGGCACAGTTCTACTCTGTCCTATAGGGTCGCTATGAGTCAAAATCAACTGGACCACAGAAAGTTTGGTGGGAGAAGTCAAAAGCATCTCCTCAGTGAGTGCAACAACTGGGAGCTCCTATCTAAGAAATCTTCCATTGACATATCAGAATAGCCTCTCCACAACATAGTTTAAGATGAAGTGAATAGCTTCTTGAGGAAAGAAAAATAATCATTAGATCAGAATTCAAACCTGAAAAAGGTCACTTTACTATCACCAAAGAAGGAAAATAATCCTCCCCTCCCAGCTATATACCCTAGATAAGCTTCCATATGCAGATTTTTTAAAAAGGAAAAATAGATATGGAGAAAACTGTTAAAGGTATGAGCTTTTAGCCCAAACCTGCACAATTGAAAGCAAACATTTGTTCTACTAATAAAGCTTAGTGTATATACCGCTGTAAACAGCTATGCCCAAATTAGGAACTGTTTCCACCATTAGTTTCAAGATTCTGTCTTTCAACCAGCTGAAGGAAGTTTTTTAATTCCCAGGAGTACAAGAGGTAAGGTTTCAAACGGACTGCCAATGAGACCTTACAGTCAGGGTCAAAACAAAGCCTCCTAATTGGCTATGAATTAGTGAAGTGAATCTTTTATACCCTCTGGCTCTCTGTGGACTAACAATGAAGGCAGAAGGAAATGGCCTTGGGCAAAATGCAAACCAAAAAGCTCAGTTGGGAGACACTTATCTTTGGCAGAGCTGGGCTTTGAGCAACATGAAAAAAAAAATGCCCTGTACTTTAGTAAACAGGATCATTAAAAAGACAGAAAGACCTTAGGCACTGAGTCTGGGCTCTTACCTCCCAACAGGGGCCTCTAAGAAAGCTAAGGAAATCAAAGACTACCTAAATGCTAGCTAAGGTATTGCCTCTTTCCCTGAAAACTACCTTGGAACTGAAAAAGGACAAGGGAGCCCTGCCAGTTAGAACCTGGAGAGCAGTTTCTTCAGTCAATTGATAGAAATAACAGGAAGTAGAATCCCTGGATGGTGAAAAGTGTTAAGAGCTCTATCTGAAAGGTTAGTAGTTTGAACTTACCCAGAGGCACCTCAGAAGAAAGGCCTGGTGATTGGCTTTTGAAAAGTCACAGGCTTGAAAACTCTACAGAACCCAGTTCTGCTCTGCAATATATGAGGTTGCGGTGAATTGGAATCGACTCTGCAGCAACTACTTAAGGTTTATATAACTTAAAGTTATATGTGGAGAACTTGGAAAGTGTAAGAAAGATGTAGTGAAGATATCCAGTAAAGTTAAAGCCCATTCACCTTCCTCAATCAGGGAGCTGACATTCTACTTGGGAACACAGGCAACCATGTAAAGAACTAGGCTGAGGCAGGGAGAACTCGAGTGTCCTGCTATGGTGCAGACAGGCTTCTCACCGTATGTACCTATTGAATTATTGTTGTTAGCTGCTGTGGAATCAGCTCTGACTCACGGTGACCCCATGTACAACAGAATTAAATGCCACCCAATGCTGAACCAGCCCCTCTGATTGGTTGTAGATGCAACCACTGTGATCCATAGGATTTTCACTGCCTGATTTTTGGAAGTAGATTGCCAAGCCTTTCTTCCTAGTCCATCTTAGTCTGGAAGCTTCACTGAAACCTGTTCAGTGCCACAGCAACAAAAAAGCCTCAACTCACAGATGATGGATCTCAGCTGACAGAGGCGTAGGGGCTGCACATGAGGTACATTGGCCAGGGAATTGAACCCTGGTCTCGCACAGGGAAGGTGAGAGGTCTACCACAGAACCACCAATTCCCCAGCCTCTTAAGTAGTGCCTTGGAAAGAAAGCAGGGTGAAGCCATGCAGCCTGGGACTCAGGTGCCTACGTTTAGTGGCCTATGGGCTTTGCCTGCGCCACCCTTCCCTTGGGCATCCCCTTCAGTATGCAGCTCTGGGATACTGCTGGACAGGAGAGGTTCAAATGCATTGCATCCACCTACTAGTGAAGAGCTCAAGCTATCATCATCTTCAACCTGAATGATGTGGCCTCCTTGGAACATACCAAGCAGTGGCTAGCTAATGCACTCAAGAACAACCCTTCTGGCGTGCTTCTCTTCCTCGTGGTTTCTAAGGAGGATCTGAGTACTTCTGCTCAGTATGTGCTGATGGAGAAAGATGCACTCAAGGTGGCCCAAGAGATGAAAGCTGAGTACTAGGTAGTCTCATCTCTCATTGGTGAGAATGTCTGGGAGTTCTTCTTCCAGGTGGCAGCACTGACCTTCGAGGCCAACGTGCTGGCTGAGTTGGAGAAATCAGGGGTCCAGCACACTGGGGATATTGTCCGCATCAAGAGTGATGACAGCAATCTCTACCTAACTGCTAACAAGAAAAAGCCCACATGTTGCCCATGAGGAGTGAAGGGTCTCACTTCCAGAAACTGTCCAGCCCTGGGAAACTATGCCACCCTAACTCCCTCAGATCTTGACCCCTGGACATTTGCAATGACTAGTTTTTTTAGACCAAAGAGCTTCCCCTTGGCGGCAGTACCACCAGAGGGGCACCTTGGACCATGCTAGTCACTCTGCCCCCAGGCACCATGCCAAAGACTGGATGCCCCAACTCATCCCCAAGGGCTCTCTAGGGTACCCAGTAGGTAGGGGACTGACAATTTCTACTGTTTTGCTCAGCCTGCTGGGCATGAGGATGCCTAATCATACCAGCTCACATGTGCCTTATTCATTGAAATCTCTGTGTTATTAGCAAAAAGAAAAGAAAAGAAAGTAGGTGGGAAGCTGGTAGTGCATCAGGAGGTTACCTTCTGGGGACTGATGATGTTAGCAGAAAGCACAGCATAGCAATGGCCTGGAGGTCTATAGTCCTGAATGTGAACAAGGTTTGCTGACAGCAGTGTGTTATTTAACTATCTAAATTTCTACAACTGAAAAATGGAAATAGTAGCTGGGAGAATGTTTACAACAATTAACATGGTGCTGGAGACGTTATAGGGGCATAATGTTACCTAAGGAGCTCTGGTGGCATAATGCCTAAGGCATTTGACTGCTAACCAGAAGGCTGGTGGTTCAAACCTACCAGCCACCCCTTAGAAGGAAGGTTGGGCAATCTACTTCCATAGTGATACTGCCTCAGAAACCCAAGGAGTGGTCACTGTGAGTCGGATGCAACTTGACAGCAGTGAATATGGTTTTGGTTTTTTTGAATGTTACGTAAAGGAGCCCTGGTGACACAGTGGTTAAGTGTTTGGCTGTTAACTATAAGGTCAGTGGTTTGAACCCATCAGCTACTTCAGAAAGATGTAGAGATCTGCTCCATAAAGATTTACAGCCCTGGAAATCCTATAGGGCAGTTCTACTCTGTCCTACAGGATTACTATAAATTGGAATCAACTTGACAGCAACTAGTTTGGGGTTTTTTTTTTGGTTTAATGTTACCGACCCACCAGCCACTCCTCAGAAGGAAAAGAGGGCAATCTCCTTCCGTAGAGATATTGCCTCGGAAACTCAAGCAGGGGTTGCTATGAGTTGAAATCGACTCGATGGCAGTGAGTTGAGTTATAATTATAACAGCACCTTTATTAACTTGACTAAGTAATAATTTGTGAAGCTTTACCTACATAAGGCACCAGTGAAAACAATGAAAAGTAGCATGACAATATGTTTATGTGGGGGCTGAAGCTGAAATTATTGTTACTAATTTCTTGTGAATGGTTGTCTTTGTAGCTTTTCTTCTCAAAAGCCAACAGTGAGCCATAGAAATGATTGGTGCTAGTATCAGTTTCAGTCCATGATGGAATCAAATATAAGCTGAGCTTCTTAAGTATGCCTCCAGGCTGCCCAGTAGATTATGGAGTAGCACACCCTATTTGCACTTTGAGTAGTGAAACAATAGGGCAAAATCAAGGAGCACTGGAAATAATAGATCAACCAACTCTTCTTGGCAACATGGGAAATTACCTGCCTACTTTCCAGAAGTAGCTCAACCCTGAGCCTGAAGCAGTTCAAAATACCTTCAGAGGAGTAGATTTGTGAAAGCCAATAGAAGCAGTGCAACTGAATAAATAATACCTAATGAATGAATGAATGAATGATCATTCATGGTATCCACAGGGGTGATACTTTGC